TGCATTACGTTATGCTAATATAACCAAATTTATAGCCTTTCTCAACTAATATATATATAACCAAATTAGCAGTCATATTTATAACATTTTATAACCAAAAAAATGGTTACATTTAGAACGTATGGTTACCATAAAACATTGGTTGGAAATAATATTTGTGACCAATGAAAATAGTTATTGTTGAACAAATAAATTGGTTACATTATATACTTTTTAAAACCAAAATGACTATTCAACGCAGTCATATTTAGAACATTTTACAACCAAAATGTTTATTGTAGTAGTATTACTTTCGTCATTTTTTTTTATAATTTGTGCAATTTGTATTTCTTTTCATTAGCATGGAAGGAGTTGAGCATTTGTTAATTGACATGTGCTAGGCAAACTATTGTCACACATATGTAAAAATTTGTGTTTTTTAAAGTAAATCTAAATCCTTCAAATTAGAGTAAATCTTCAATGTTTTTTGTGCAAATTCATGTGCGTTATTGTTCATACATCATAAGTGATGATTGACATCATTTTGATATAAATCGCATGTTTAAAATGACGGTTATGAACCGAGTGCACTGAATGCACCAAAAAAAGTGAGTGCACCGAAGACGCCACCATACGGTGCACTCACTTTTTTGGGTGCATTCAGTGCACTCGCTTCATAACCGTCATTTTAAACATGCGATTTATATCAAAATGATGTCAATCATCACTTATGATGTATGAACAATAACGCACATGAATTTGCACAAAAAACATTGAAGATTTACTTTAATTTGAAGGATTTATAGTTTAGAGATTTAGGGTTATATCATCCTATTACAATAATTCTACAAATTAAAATTGAAAATCCGACATCATAAGACTAGTTTTTTAGTTGGGTGCATTGAACGCACTCATTTTTTCGAGTGCACCGAAGTAGTCAATATATATATGGCGAGTTCTACGGTATATAATGCTAAATGAAAAATATGAAAGCATTAGTGTGGTTAAATAGGGACTTTAGACACGTGTTACATTGACAATACAATACATTACCTCGGCGCTCGAAGTGAAGAAGCCTCGAGCACGAGCAGGAACAAGCTCCGCTATGTAGACAGGGCCCACCGTCAGGCTGACCCCTGTAGGCTGTAGCTAAACCAGTGAAGATGTGACCGACGGCAAGAACGCCGTACGACGCCATCCCGAAGCTTTTGAACACGTTCCCGGCGAAGAAGAGTGCTCCTGTAGTCCTGTTGCCGTAAAATGACGTTTCCTCCTAAGTAGTCTGCCGTCGCGCCAGCCACAAGCGCACTGAACACGCTGGCGACATCGGAAATCACCACCCGTAACTTGACCTGGTAGGGTGCAGAATCGAGATTGCTCTGCCACCCGAGATTCGCCATGGAGTTATCTGGCACGGGCGGAGTTATGATCTAAATAAGCAAACATTAGTAGAACCAGTGTGTTTGCAGGTCACGAATGACTTACCGTATCCGACAAGAAAGAAGGACAGGGCAGCTACGATTGCAAGTTCTCCGATCTCATTGTTGAGCAGTTTGAGAATGTTTGTTTGTACAAAACACGAAGGGTTGCGGAACGATTCTCGATCGTTTTTCCTGTATTTCTCAAAGATCAGAAAAAAATTGCTACCCTGTACAATGATTCCTACAAACTATTTAAACTCTAATGGCTAAGCTACAAGACAAAAACTATAGTATACACTGGCCTGAGTTCAGGTCCTTAAACCCAATTCCTTATGGAAAGCATTTTGATTGGTTGGATGGAGATTTGGTAGTTAATAGGGAGTTATACGTTAATTAGTTAATAAGGATATTTTGGGAAATTATTAGTAATATAAAACTAAAATAATTAACCATAATAATCTCTTAACCCACGTCTCATTATCTTCCCTACGCCGAACGTTTTCTTCTCAACCCTTCCGTCAAGCAAGGTTATCTGCCGGTCATTGGTCTCCCGGCGGTGATCTCTGTCCGACCCAGTATTTTCCCGCCATCATTTCCGGCAGCCATCCCCAACTCCCCCCTTCGCCCTCAATGCCCGCCAGCAGTAACAATCGTTCCAGTTGAGGTGATTGCCCGTCCGGTTCGTCTCCCACCGTCACTCAGCAACGTCGATTTGCTCTCCCCCCGGAAGCTTGCTCAATGTCCCTTTGCTCTCCCATCCGAAGCTTACTTTTAATTAGTCCCTCTCAGGCCGCATAGCTCTGCTCTCCCAGCGCCCGTCCGGTTTGTCGTGGCTTGCTAACCCCTCACCCGCGTTCTTCCTCGTCGCACAAGCATAACAGCGGCGTCGGTCCGGCTTTTGGTGCTGCTTCCGTCCTTTGCCCTCTCCCGTTGTTGGCCTGTTTCGTCCCTCAATTGATGTCAACAACGGCGTCGCTCCCGTCTGGCGTCGGCCTGTATTCCTAGGTCGCTCCCACTTCTGGTGTCAATCTCGTACGATGTTACTCCAGTCTCCGACTGATTTCTTTGATAACATTAACAATGACCAATATTCAATCATTAAAATATTTTTTTGACAATTATTAACTAAAATACATTTATGCAAAGTATTATTAACAAAAATACAGTCATTATTAACGTTTACTATAAAATTTTACCAAATTATTTATTAACAATATCTCATCATTTATCAATATTTATGTCAGGTACCATTAAACATTTCGATGTATTATTAATGAGATACAAAAACATTATCACCTTTTCACAAATCATTTGTTGATTGTTTGCAAAGTTATTATTAATGGGATGTCATCATTTTTAAATGACCAATAATTCAATCATTAATTTTTTTTTACAATTATTAACAATGTAACAAGACGTTATCAACGTTTATGCGAAATATCATTAACAAAAATACAATCATCATTATTAACGTTTACTATAAATTTTTAACAAAAATACAATCATCATTATTAACGTTTACTATAAATTTTTAGGATATTTATGTAATCATTTATTAACAATATCTCATCCATCATTTATCAACGCTTATACCATGTATCATTAAATATTTTGATGTATTATTAACGAGATACAAAAATATTATCTTCTCTTCCCAAACCATTTGTTGATTTTTTGCAAAACTATTATTAATGGGATGTCATGATTTTTCAATGTAAATAATATTACATTAACAATGACGGATAATTCAATCATCAAATGTTTTTTTGACAATTATTAACAATGTAACTTGCCGTTATCAACGTTTATTCATAATATCATTAACAAAATACAGTCATCATTATTAACGTTTCCTATAAAATAGGATGTCTACTAAATCATTTATTAACAATATTTCATCATTTATCCATGTTTATGCCAGATATCATTAAATATTTTTTATGTATTATTAACGAAATACATAACATTATCAGCTCTTTCCAAATCATTGTTGGTTGTTTACAAAATAATTATAAATGAGTTTTCATCATTTTTGAACGTAAATCATATAATATTAACAATTACCAATCATTAAATATGTTGTTGACAATTATTCAAGTCTCCCCGTTATCAACAAATTAAATATATAATTTTAATTATATTGAACCACGCTATCAATTCATCTTATTATAGATTATTAACCGACCACGTGACTATTTCTAACTATATTATTGGAATTATTAACCGATTACATCATCGCTATGCGTTTTCAATAATAATATCAACGTCATCAAAAGATTAATTTTTACAAGTGTCTTATTAATATTTCCAATCATCGTTATTAAAATCATGATAAAAAAAAATTGATCCGACCTACCATGTACCTATCAACATTCTTAAATTACGTTATTAATAATATCATCAACTTTATCAATATATTATCGACGTTATATTAAAATCTTATTACACATTATTACCAGTACATATCAACTTTTTTCCATCCCTTATCAACATTTACAAATTAAGATTTTAATATTATCACTGATCAATCTGCTGCGAGACGTCAAATACCGACGAAAACCCAACCCAACGACAAAACAATCAACATAAAAAACCCAAATACCAACAAAAATCGTATAATTTTTAATGAAACCCATTACCAAAGTCAAATGGAACTACATGTTCCATGTCTCTGGCGGCGGACCACCGAAGCGGCTACGAACGGAAGAGAAGCGGCGGAGATAGACACTGTAGTCGTGGCCGGAGGGGGATGTCACAGACGAGCTCTTCCGACGCAGAACGCTGGAGAGACAGCTCTTCGAAAATGGTTTTTGCTCCGTCAAGTAGGATTAATTATATTTTTCATTTTAATTATTAAATACCTATTTTTGCTTTTAATTATTAATGACAATGTTTTTTAATTCCTTCCGTGCCCTTATGGGCAGTTAAGCAATCATTGCTTCGACTTACCTCTCTCCTCCTCTTATTGGGTAGAATTGACTTAAGATCCTCCTTAAGAATTGGGGTTTAAGGACTGGATCCAACCCGGTATACACTTCTCTATTGTAGGCTTTGCCTTTGAGACGTCGTTTCCTTTAGTAACTCAACAAGGTTCATCAACGTGCATGGGAGGAGTTGGTAATTAATGGAGTTACTAGCTAGCTGGTTATATATACTTCATCACCAGCCCAACTTTGTCAGAGTAAATGGGAAGTGAATCGGCAAAAGTTTGTCAGTATGTTCTACGATTCAACTACCTACATTAATTGCCTAATGCTTCGAGTAAATGGTTCCATTCCTTGTCCCTTTTGTTTCCTTGTTAATTGCTAGCTGTCTGTTTGTGATGGATGTTTGATCTGGTTCTGCATCCATCAACCTCCCCTGCTTAGGTTGGTTGAGAAGCTTCTTTCTGCACTGTTTATTCCCACTTATTCACTCAACCCCAGCTAGCTAACAAGACATTTTAGCATATATCCATGTTACAAAGAACAAACAAGTCATGAAACTAAGTTTATAAGCTTTCGTAAATTGTTTGGACAAGTAATGCAGGTACTCTCAAATACATGCACCAGAGTACAACACAGTCTTCGATCAGGTGTCTGACAATTACAATTGTGCACATATTATCCTTGTACATTATTAGAATAAACACTGACTTGTACATAATGTAATACTTCAGTACCAAGTCGCACCAAGCAAAAGAAAACTAGCAACAAACTGTTCCTCCCTATCTCTTCGGTTTCGATGGTGTCGGGCTGAGGCACGATATGGGTAATCAAGATTAAGGAATTGTACGTTGGGCTCGACGATATCGAGCTGAGGCACGGTATGGTCAGTGTTTGAGCAACACACTTTTCTAGGATGGGTAGGAAAGTCAGCAAGTTGAAGAGCTTGGTAAGGAAATAATCAGACAGAATCTGATGGTTTGCATCTTAAGACGAAAACTCTGGGATGCTCTCAGTATCGTCTCGAAACCTTTCCGTTAGTGGTTTAACCTTCTTTGTCAATGGATGGTTGGTTGAAGGTTCTTGGATGTTGTGCTCACTGCATTCCTGAAGGTAAATGCAGAGCCTTCACGCGAATAACAACCTGAAGCTTTCTGCTCATATTGAGTAATGTTTAATGCTTCCAAGTCAATGAAAGTTTAAGCTTGCTACACATCACAACCTTACTCCTTGTCCTATTACCTGAACCAATTTGATGGAATCGAATTAATGCTAAAACGGGACAGCAATACAACCTACGTACTACTCTCTCAGTAAGAAATGACAAAACGTTCAGTGCACAGACAGGACACAGAGCCAGCCAAAACTTCCTGGGAAGATTGATGTGAGATATGTAGGCTCGTTAAGTCAATCCTCCTTGTGCAAGACTTTAGGAACTCGAACATAAGGCTCGTCGTAGCTTGGAAGGCCTTCAATGATGGCATCCCTGGATTTTGAAAGCACAGATCACTTAGATAGTATGTCGTTTATCAAACACAGATTACCCTTCAAAAAAGCTCATTCTCGTACACAGCACTTGTTAATTAGTAAGAACTTATTTCACCACAAATGAAGAAGAGAGACTTACGTTTTGGGGAATGTTACAGGAACATCGTCCCTCAAGTTCACTCCTTCAGCCTCTAATGATCACACAACGAAAATCACAAATGAGATCGATCACACAAGACACACAGCCACAAGAATTAAACAATCTACGAAAACCTCGAGTTATTAAGATCACTTCATCGTTGTTCACTCGTTAATCAACATCTGTAATGGAAGAGCTGAAACTTCGATCACAACAGTCCATTTCTACACGAGTTTCTGTTAACTCCCATCATCAAAGGTTCCATCTTTTTGCATATTATGATAAACCCACAGTATTAGTTGTTGGATTCAAGTACAGTGTAATCTTTGATCAAACATTTTAACTCCCATCATCACAATTCAGAGGTCCCATCTTTTTGTACATTATGATAAACCCACAACATTAGAGTTGGATTTAAGTACATTTGTAATCTTTCTTCAAACATTTTAACCATCCAGAACCTTGGATAAAGGAGAAAAACACTTGCCTGCTGCTGTTGCTGCTCGGATCCCAGGCTCGACTTGATTGAGATCCACACCCTGAAGTTGCCCAAACCTACAAACACAAACCCATGAAAATTCTTCCCATTACTCTCCCCCGAGTGTTTCCAAAATCCAACACTGGAAGCGAGGGATTCTAAACAATCACCATTCAATCACTTGTTGGATTTTGGGGCCGAAATCCTCCACCTGGAAAATCGAACACACAAATTATATCAGAAACCAGAGCAAGGGAGAGGAAGAAATCAGACTCCGAGCTTGATTACCTCTTGTTCAGTGAGCGAAATTCGAGCGGTTTGAGCCAGTCGCCGGACGTCCGGCGCTTCCTCGTTCGTCAATGCTTTCGCTGAAAACCTCGCCGCGCTGTTCTGCCGCCAACAAGGACTACCGCTCCCGCCGAGAAAAGAGTAAGAGGCGCGGCGGCCATAGCCATGAGTGAGCTTCACCGTCTTGCTGCTGTGGATTAGCAGCAGCGGAAATGAGCGGCCAAGCATCAATCCTCCGGTCGCCATAGTGTCCTTCCAGTTCCAATTTCCCCTCTTTCCCCCTGCCGGCCACCCAAAATTTCTTCCAGAAATCCAGAAAAACTCAAAAATTAATTCCAGAAAATTAAAATTACATCTAAAAAGTCTAGATCACCTTACGATAATCCAAATCAAATAAAAAAATGCAAATTACATCTAAAAAGTCTAAATTACCAATGAGGCACAGCACTCGTAATAAAAACTCAGCATTGTCCAGATTATCAATGTATAGCCTTGTGATAGGGTTTATCATAATAAAAACTCAGCAGAAGGCAATGATATATCCCTAACCATAATACATATAAAATCAACTCATACATGCTGTCAAAAGTACTAATACTTCTCACCAACAATGCCTTAAAGGTAATACCTATACAATTTTCCATATTTGGTAATACACGGAAAATGGGAAACTAAGCAAGCATACATCTATTCCATGACACAAGCTTATCATCAATTCGATGCAAAAAAATCAGAGACCGGGAATAAAATAAGAAGTCCAGTAGTAGGATGAGTTCCCTGAACTTTCAGTTTTACGGGGAAAACTAACAACATCAATGGTAAGATGGCGTAGCATTCTCTCAATTCCATAGTACTCTGGGATGCGGATCATGAACTAACAACATCAATATCAACCATCATAGCTTAAAATGAGCAGGAGGTTTACCTAAGAAGTTGTAAGATAAGAGCAAAATTGCATTATACACAACTGCAATAGTCAAACAACTACACCATTTTCTTATCTTACACCCCAAATCTCACTGCTATTCACCAGCCTGTTAAATTTGTTTCAGTAATGTTCTTTGGCATGAGCATAAGTCAGCAAAAAACCAACTATTGTAGTTGTGAACCAACTGTTTCCCTAATCAACATAAATTCACAACACAATTCTATCTAACACAGTCGGACCAACATGATATATATAGAATATAAAGCAAAATAATACAACCACCATTCATTCATCCCAAAAGCATGCGATTATAATTATAGGGATGCATCACAGACTGCTAAAATATTAACTTTAAGAAGAACTCTTAGTTACTCATGGCAAATTGCAAAGTGAGAGGAATCTCACAGAGGGCCAATGAAAATATAGAATCTAAATTAGATTCAATAGAAGTTGTAATTTGGGTCCCCAAAACTGGAAGCAGAAACCAGTGCCTTGGTAGCATATAATTTGATACTCAATCATGTCAATTGTTTAAATTGTGATGAGATAATAAGACCCCTGAAATGGCAAGCAAAAGCTAGCACTAGGAAATAGTAGGAGCAGGTCCTGATTAGATGAGTATCATTACTGCCATTTTGACCTTGAGTTTGTGATTGAAGCAGGAGAAGGACGCTAAGACAGGAAAAGTGAGATGAACCAGTCGAACCTGGGTCTGGGTTTGGGGAGCAGAGAAGCTGGGTGTGTGGAATCCAATTCAGAGCTGGGTCTATTTTCCCTCCTCACCCATCAATCTCCTGCGGATGTGAAAAAACCCAGCGCCGTGGTCGCCCCTGAGACGAGAAGGAGGAGGGGGAAGGAGAAAACGGCGTCGTCGACGAAACGGAGAGCTTCTGCTACTCCTCCAGGAGCTTCTCCTTCGACGACACGTCGTGCGAGTTCAGTCGCGCCGGGGAGACGACGGGGAGCGAGAACGAGGAAGGGAAGCTGCTGCGGCGGGGGGCAGGGCGAACCCGAGTGCTGGACCAGCGCAGAGGATGAAGGAGATGCGTCGGCAGGTGCTGGGTCGATGATGGAGAATATAAGGGAAGCTTTTGGGCAATCGTGTTTTCAGAGATGCGGTGAGTTTGGGCTTTGGGTCTACTATTTTATTGGGCCAATAAGCCTACTGATCTCGAGTCTAATTAGAGTTTTATGACATTATCCATTGTTGCAGGGACAGGGAGGGACCGTCTTTTTCCGTTGGCCATGGCAGTAGGCCGATGAGAGCTGGAGTTAGGGTTGTGCATTTGTTTTGGACAGTAGGCGTTAGGTAGTTCGAGCTTATATAGAAGACGCTACAGGGAAGAAATCAAAACCCCTACTACTACTATTACGTTCTCAAGGCGGAAAAATGTTATCTTTGCATATTTAAACGAGAAGACTTATCCGCAGAGGCTTCGGAAAAGTTATCCTTGCCGGTTAAGTTTACAAATTGATCAAAAAATACCAGCCTAAAATCAATGAATGCATGATTCATCGTAGGGCTAACTATACGGTGCAATTCGGTTAAATTGGCCCGAATTGATTCAGTTCCAGTCCAGTCTTTTCGAGAATATAAGAACCAAAGATTGGATTGGATACAGTCCGGTCTTGATTCGGTCCGGTCTTTATTTTAGATTGAACTTGTGGGGATTTGAGTGGTCTGAGGCCCGAAAGGGTAAGGAGTTCGTTAAATTTTTGGTGTTGGACTCTCTTATCTGGTTTTTCGGTCCGATCCCGAACGATTTTTTACCTCAAATCTAAGCCCGAATATGTGATTGAATTGTTTGCTATCTGGTCCCGATCCGGTCTTGGTTCGGGTTATACGGTCCAGTTTCGGGTAAAACCAAAAAGAATTGCATTTTATTTTCATTTTTCTTTGTAATAGTTATAGTGGTGAAGTGGAAAATAAAAATAAGTAATTTTCTTTTTTATTTTATGATCTTTTAATTTGACAACTCACCTATTTGACGGTCAAAAATTGGAATTGACTGCTAATATAAAGTATTTGTTCCAAAAAAAATTGCACCAAAAGTCTAATAGTAGACATAATAAAAAAAAATATGGATAATTGCAGATCTTGTTCCAGAAGCTTTTTGTACCAAAAATCCAAGTAATCGCGCTCAATTGCAGTAAACTGTAAAAGTCTTAAAAATAGCTTTTAAATCACTTTTTATGTCTTTTATATATGTATTTTAGTATCATAATGGGTTGAGATTGGATTGATCAACCAAACCTATTGGACCACGTCATTTTAGACCTTTGATATAACTTATATACAAGTTATTTGGCTCTGGATAGTATGACAATAACTCATATGTTGTTAGGATAACAACAGATAATAATAAGGGTATAAGTATAACAGTTTAACCAAAAATCGAGAATTGGCGTCGTCCGTTTCTCTCTCGTTGTCTATCCTCTTTCATCATTGGAGTTGTTGTCTCTTAATCAATATTTGTCTCTTCGTGTCAGGTAGCTGTGGCTGCACCATTATCGGTGCTAGAGAAGGATTTGCAATGAGTTCGAACGGAGCAAATTTGGGATTTTTTCGCTTCCATTTGCTTACGAACCAATTCCAGTCGAATCGACGGTAAAGAAAACAAAATTAAATCATGTTTATTAGTTTATCTAATGAAGATGATTGGTCCATGGGAAAAGCTTGGGTTCAAGCTTCTAGCCTGCTATAATTTCATGGAGTAGCCACCTCCACGTTCACTCGAAGCACACCAGAAGTCTTTTAATACAAACCACATATCCCGTGAAACATACTAGAAACACTATAAAGCAAACAAAAAAATGTTTCTAAAGAACACCAAAAACCTACTAATGCAGACCACTAATCGCCTAAAACAGAGCAGAAACCCCACAAAGCATACCATAAATATTCCATAAGCACATAAAAAAAACCACCTACTGCAGACCATAAACACGATAAAGCATACCAGAAACCTCCTAATGCAAACTACAAAAAGCAAACTAGAAATCTCGTAATGCAAACCAAAAAATACTTCGAAAGCACACCCCAGAAACTTCTTAATGCATACAACAAACACAATAAAGTAGACCACAAAAGGCAAACAAAAACATGAGAAAGCAAACCATAAATTTCACAATTCAGACCACAATATCCGATGATAGTTGACCATTGACTGACGACCGAAGATCGTTTACTAAACTCCCATGATTTCGAGGACCGGATTCCGACGGCGATAAGCATATTCCGCCTCCGATGACCGGATTCCGACAATGATAAGCATATTCCGGCCACTGGATTCCGACGTTGTTAAGTATATTCGACAACATTGAACATATTCCAACCACGGTGGGTGGATTCCGATGAAGGTGAGCATATTCCATCACTTGTGACCGGATTCCGACGATCGAAAATTAGGACAAAAAATAAAAATTAAATTTTGTAATTATTTTATTTTTCTGCCATTATTTTTATTTTTTATTGATTGTTTAAACAAAATATTCACAATGACCATTTTACCCTTTCATTGATTTTACACAGTCAACCTAACTAAAAAAGTTATCACAATGCTAATCTCCTATTTGTTGGATCTAATGTTGTCACCCTATCTAATCTCAAGTTATTTAAAGCTCAACCTTTCTTGTCAAAACTCAAAATATTCTCCAAATCCCAAAAGAAAAAAAATAAGAACAGAGACCGGATGATCGCTGGTGGCGTTCGTTATGTGCTACTTGTCTAAATTTGGGCTTGGTCCCAAGTTCGATCATTTGGTATCCTTCTCTCTCCCTCTCTCTCTCTCTCTCTCTGTGTATGTCTTCCTCAACTACAAGCCATGATATGGATATGCCATATCGACTTGTCAGTGAACCGGGGGGGGGGGGGGATAAGAATTTAGAGACGAACAATCCCGAAACGGATTCCTCTGTCGGGCGTTGGTTTTCTTCCCAATCTTGTGATGAAGAAACTCTTTTCAAACTTGTTAAGTTGTCATTTATGTTGCTTCACTTAAGTGGTACACTACATCCTAAAAATTCTTTTCGGTCTTTTGATGAAGAAACTATTTATTCAACGAAAAAATATATATTTACAAACTTGCTCAAGATTTTATCCTCGAGACTTTGAAGGCTATGAGATTCATTCTTTGAAGAATGAGTTAGGATATTATGCCGCTCGTGTGATTCATAGTAAGGAATGTGAAGTTACTTTCATTGCAAAATTATTAGAGAGTTGGTGGAAACAGGGAGAACGCACACTACAAGTTGATTTGTCGGTTGATTTGTCTAGTGTTGACCTTACCCATTAATGGCTACTATGGAGAGAACATTTTCAGCAATGAAACATATGAAAACTTATTTGCACAACAAAATGAGCGATGAGTTTCTCGCTGATTGCTGAACTCTTTTCATTGAGAGACAGTATGTTATTGGTATCATGGTATGGATGGATACTCCATTGTTGATAAATATGCTAAACTAAAATATCGTCGTGTACAATGGACATTGTAATGAAAACTATAGTTATTATATATTTTTGTTTATA